TTTTTGTTAAACGCTTGTAGTTTCTTCAAAATTTAAGACTGGGAATAAATTATGGCATCGACCAAAATTTTAGACCTTTCTCTACAACATGTGATAATATGAGCCGATTCATGCATGTATTAAGAAAAATGTAGCCTGTTGCAGAGGTTCACTTTTTTTGGACCACCCTGTCTAGATGACCTCTTCGATCAAAATGGAAGTGAAATTATGAAGGATTCCTTCATTTGTAACTCTAACAAATGAGAAATATTGATGATAATACTCTCCTGTAAAATGGCGATTGAAATGGATTCGAAAGTATCCATTCAACCCAATAACAATACTAGAGAGGATAAGATGCACGGGCAACCTAAACGTCAACCTAGTCTGTCAGGTGACTTTATGGATGATGGGTGGGCGAACGGTTCGCGAGTCTTTCCACTTCAGGTTCATAATGATACTTTTAACATCGTTTTAGAATTAGTATGTCTGTGAAACTTGTCCCGTACCATCAATATCTAAAGACGATTTCATGCGATTACTGATTAAAGAGAAATTCGCACTTTTGTGTCTTGGAAAATGAAGTGTATGCGAATGAATCGAATTTCACGAAGGATATGTGGGCAATTTAAGGAATTTGATATGGTGAAATTCAGCATGAGTTGAACAGAATGTCGCATAAAGAACGAACACGTCGAACAGAAGGTGAGTGAATTTGAACTGACATTCTGTTCAACTTTTCAAACCAGAAATCGTAATATTTTATTCTAACTAGCCCTTAAATTGCGGTATGGAGGTAGAATTTTGGAGACCATGCTAGTTACATCCTAATTTGTAATTTTCACCACAATTTGGCAATAATAAAGCAAAATTTTAAGGCGTTTATATGAAAAAATCAATATTTATACCCACCGTACGACAAAAGTAGGGGGTACATAGAAAATAATTAATAACTTTACAAAAACATTATGAATTACCACATTTTTTCAGAATATATGCACATTAATAACTGGTAAAAAATTGGTGACTATAGGTATTATGGTTGCTATGGAAACGTAATTTGATTGTCAAAATTTGCTAATTTGTGTCTATTTTGGGGGGCTCATTGATGGAAAAATCCTATGTTAGCAAGTTATGCTGCAAAAATAGTATTGTTTTAAGGTCTAGAAAATTGCATATGTATATGTTCTGCATGCATAAAAATTGGAATGATGATTGAGTCACAATCAGAAATATTTTTAAATATTTTAATTTTCTATCATTTTGTTAATCCCCAAATATTTATGCCACTCCCCTCGTATTAAGATACTAGAAATTACACATTGTATGTGTCATTAGTAACTGGAAAAAGATTATGGTGATCATAGGTTTGATGGTTGCAATGGAAAAAGGATTTGATTGTCAAGAAAAGGACCGCATGTTGTAGAATGAATCGGGTTTTTTTTCATGCACTTTGCTTGTGTTTTTTTATCTTAAAAACATCACAACACTTTAAACCTTTTTATTGACTATAAGACTGCACCATATAATCCCCCAAAAAATATTTCTCTTTTCAAGGATTACCTGGATGGATTAACATCCAGGTTTTTATTTTCAAACTTCAGAGGGCTGGGAATCATTGATTACGATCATATAAATGCTGCTTTAAAATAGGTTTAATGTATGCCAATAATTTCTCAAATTGTGTAAATGGTACCCATTCCTTATTTCCTAGAATTTTCTTCAAAAGAGGATCTGTTCGGACCATTCTACTTATGATGTAATTGGAGACAGGAGGCAATTCTGCAAATTCACAAAGTCTGACAAGATATATTTGGAAACTCCATTGGCCTTCATACGGGGAAACACATTTTGTTATCCTATCAAATGAAGTTTGCATGGATATAAAGAACCCATCTGTCCATTCGTTTGTTTGTCCGAGGGATTACAAAATACCGGTTGATTTTGATTCATTTTTGATTTTGATTCAATTTTATAGGCTTATGTCTTAAAGGTGTAGGACCTCTGTCAAAAAGGAATTTCAATATGGCTGCGCAATTCAAAATGGCCGTCATTTTTTGTAAAATTGTAACCTTTATTATTTTATAATTGTAACTCAAATACTAGAATAGTTAATTTGGTTCCAATTTTATATGCTGATGCCGAGGGACGATGGGGCTCTGCTCAATAAGAAATTGTTTAAGATGGCAGCTGAATTTCAAAATGGCTTTTGATAATGACTTGTAGCTATTTTTGCATAAACTACCATGGCAGATCATTGAATTTCTCAAATTACAATATGCATTTATAATAATAACTGTAAAATGATGATAGTCTTTTTCAACTCAACCCCTAATGTATCTTAGCTCTTATAATGGTTCCTCTTGCTTTATTCTCATTTTCATCATTTGCATAAACGAAAGCTAATTTCATATATTTAGCAAAGTATTTGGTCCAAAGGGATTATGAAATATAGAAATCAAGAATTGTCATCTATTTCTTATAACATTTTACAAGTGTCATCCTTTTTCCACTAGTGTCATCCTTTTGTTGTGTCATCCTTTTGTGGTGTCATCCTTTTCTTCCAACCGACATCATATCTGGCATAAATTTTGGTATGCATAATCTAGCTATAGAATGTTTAACATATTTATGGATCATTAAGAAAATTAAGGGTTATAATTATCTTACAATTTCCAGTTAATTGTAATATGTCAACCCTATCCCTAATTTTAAACTGAGAAGAGACATCTCAATCTGATATTACCTCAAATTTTATCACGAAATGGTATCATTAATCGGACTTTCATTATATAACTGATATTTTTCACAAAGTTTGATTGGATTTTTTAAAATATAGTATTCCTCTAAACGTAACTAACAATTTAACTTCATGTCTCAGAAGACCCTTCTTGAGCACATTGCTAGATTTTCTCAAATTTATGACGTCAATTTATGGTAAAAAGTCACACTCACGATTCCTTTCTTGCTTTTTTGGTCAAAGTGTGCATACATTATACCTCTGAAAGTTTGGAATGATAATAACGAAAAATAAAAAAAGATATGATTGGTAAAGGACAATGCACCCTTTTTTCTTGACAGGGTATGTATTTTATTGGCGTGAGACAAAAATAAAGATTAAAAACTCACAACAACTGCAACTGAGTCTGCTTTTAAACACGATTTTATGCAATACTTGCAATAGCATGCATTATTATTTTTGATAACTTCCTTTTTACAGGCTACTTTAAAATACTTTCAATTTTCATTACAGTTTAACAGGTTCACGTTTTAACCCCTCTCAAAAGCCTTTTTCTAAGGGCCCAATTTCCTTATACCTTTATACTTACTAGGACACTACGAAGCGAGAACTTATCCCTAGAGGACCATAAATCTACATATTCAAGTACAAATTTCAGGTCATAGAAAAAAACTTCCGCGCATGCCCGGAAAAATGTTTTCGGCCCCTAAAACCCAAAAGTGGGCCCAAAATTTGAGGCCTAATTTCTTTCGGAATTTGGCCTGAAATTAAAAAATAAGGCCTAGTAAAGACCAAAAAGGGCCCCAGCCCCCCCCCCCCCCCCCAGATCCGCCAGTGCAGTGGTGTGTCCCGGTAACATGGATCGGGCCATTTCGGGATTTATGCAGTGATTCGAAATCTGAATGTTGAATTTTGAATCAGATTTGAGTCTCAATCGAGAAAAACACCATATTTAAAAGCTTAAAATTAAAGCCAGAAACTTTATAATTTAAACTAATAGTAAAATCAGGATAATCGTCTCTCTGCTATTAATACACCAGAACGTATATTTGGGGTTGCACGGATTAAATACAGTAATACAATTTGGTGTATTTATTTGGCATTCGGATAAAGACAAGTCATGGCTTATACAATCAAACTTGATTGAAGCAAATGTCATTGTTCTTCAATAAGATTTACCCTGAGTGTCATGAAATAAATAACATAGCAAAATAAAACTTTTAGAAATAGTTTAAGGTTTCCTATTCATTGGTTTCCGTAAAGTACTATTTGAAACGAATATTTATGCCTGTATTGATTTGTATCATAATGAATGTGTTTCACCTTTCTTTTGTCTTGCATTGATGATTATCAGATTATACCCTCACATTTTAAAGTTTTAAAACAAACTAATTATCACGCGCAGCGCATGTCATGCAATAAGTAGTATTACTTAACTCACCGTGAGCACAATATGGGCTGACACGGAACATCATAATTGCAATTAAGTAACTTTAACTGCATGACGTATTGGTATTTTGGATGAGTCAGTCTAAAATCCATTCACATTCACCAGATTTATGCGTAGTTCAAAAATTAAAACAAGATGAGGTTGCGGAAACAGCAAGGGACATGTACACTTGTACTACATTCACTAGATTTCCATGGTGGGCCTAAACATGTTACTGATTTTAACTTGTAATAATTCATTTATTATATTGGGATAATTGGTCTCAAACTTTCTGAGATGACTAAGAACGATGCAAGTTTTGTTCCATATCAGTGTTTTTTATGTACGTCTCTGCGTTTTTAGTTGGCTGCCAATCAAACAATCTGGACATGCTAAAAAGCAGAACATGAGATTCTGGGTTGTTAATAACACTAATATGGAACAAAACATGCATCGATTCTAAATCATCTAAGAAATCATACCAATAATGAATGATAATTGCACTTTAAAATCAGTAACATTTTTGGCCGGTCCTGGAAATCTAGTGAATATAGTAATGTCCCTGGCTGTATCCACCTCATCTTGTTTTAATTATTGAACTACGCATAAATCTGGTGAATGCGTTACGGATTTTAGATACGTTGGGCTATAAACGTTATGCAGAACCTCTCTATAACCAGAAGCAAGACCCTGTATGAAAAATATGTGTTGGTTGTAGGTATATGTACCATTTACGTGCGTCTTGTCAGTGTGAAAACAATTGTTACGAAAAACTTAATTCACGGTCCGCTCCCCCTTCCAAAACATGACGATGATATCTATCAAACGTATATAGCAGTAAATTATACTTACCTTCCAAGTGGAGATGGCAGTTGGTGACAATGTGAATGGTTGTGCAACACAGCTGGCGCTCTTTTCGATCACAATACTCGATTACGCGAATGTTTTCTGTTGCTATCCTTGCATCATGTGGTTCATATGGGCATTCCGTAAACCTTTTTTATTTAAAACAAATCGGCGTTTGCGATCTTTTAATTTCTGCTTCTTAAAATTTAGTTTTCATGTCACATGCGACGTGTCAGTGCGTACTAATTCTTTCAATTGCATCCGTGTGAAACGCAAACTTACATGTGCATGACTAAAGTGTAAACACCATCAGTACATAAATAGTTCAACACTGACTGATTTTGATTGGATCAGGTAATATAAAGGCGATTTATCCGCGAGCACAGAGATTATGTGCAGTCTCTAATGGCCTAGTCACATAGCCCGGCCGATGAGGTTCCGATGAGCCAGCGATGCAATTTTCACCGAACTCGGCCGAACACCGGCCGAACACCGGCCGGACACCGGCCGGACATCCGTGGCGTTTGTTGCTTAAAACCGCATCGGTGGCAGCTCGGTGAAATTTTAACTTCGGAGTTAAATTTCACCGGGCTCTCACCGAGCTCCCTCATCGCAGCCCCATCGTAACCACATCAGAACACACGTCGGCCGGTGCACGGCCGAGTATCGGTCGGTGTCCCGTGCATCTGAGACAACCAGAGGACGAGGTTTTTTTAACGGACACCGGCCGAGCTCCGACCGAGCTCCGGCCGATGTGGGACAGAGCCTTGGAAAGTATAGTACCTGAAGATGTCCGGACGGAGTCCGTTCACGTCACCGAGCTCTGCTTCCGATGAGGAGAGCTCGGTGGCACCAAAAAAATCTACCGAGCTCTACCGATGCCGGACATCGGCCGGGCTATGTGACTAGGCCATAAAAGTCTGTCTATCGCTCTATGCATAATGTGTTATACGAAAACAAACGATGCGTATATATAATGTGCGCAAGGTGCGGATATTAAAGCTACGTTCACACCAACGGCGCTTTGATGGCGCTTTAAAGCGGCGCCAAAGTGTAACAAAGCTTGATTAAAGCGTCGGGGTCGTAATAGGTCGTAGAAAAGCTCGGAGTGAAGCGTGATATTCGGCAAGTGCGCCAAAAAAAATTTAAACGGTTTAAAAATTGATTAAAGCGTCGTGAGAGTATCAAAGCTTAACAAACCGTAACAAAGCTCAGCAAAGCTTGACCCAAAGCGTAGGAAAGCTTAACAGAGCTTGTTTCAAAAGATTGAAACGCTTTGTTAGGCTTTGTTACGCTTGGCAAGCTTCCTCACGCTCTCTCTAGTCGATCTGGAATTTCTAGATCTTGTTGTTCTGCCATCGTGTTCTCGAGTCAAAGATGCAATGGTTTTATGGATCTACTGCATCTTTATATATAGTCATTGGATCAAAAGCGCCATGAAATCGGTGATCTCGACATTTCCAATGCGTGACAGAGCTTAACAATGCACAACAGAGCTTGGCAATCGTATCAGAGCCTGATTTGAAGCATCATAATCGCATCAAAGCGTAATAATGCTTATGAAAGCTTATCAAGGCGTGATTTCAAGCGTAACAAAGCCTGGTCGAAGCGGAATCAAAGCGAGAGGAACCGTAACAAGTTCTTCATATGAGATAATTTTTCATTAAAATGTAAAATATGGTACAACAAATAAGATTAAGATGTTAAAAGCACCATTTCTTCACATATATGTATGAGACCATTTTTTCATTAAAACTCTAAGATACAATAAATTGTGTATAAATGCTTCTTTAATTTCAGCTCCAGCTGTAACACTAGCAGTATGACAGTGTTCAACAAATTGGGACTAATCCAGTTTTCTCAATTACAGTCTTACATTCTAATAAATATAAACATTCAGTAAAGCTACTAAAAAGTAGTATGTATAATCCAACAGCTCAGAGATAAAGCTGGGGAATGTCTATGCTGTGACGTGTCGCAAAAAGGTCGCGCACGCATTGTAGACATTTTCGTTTTTTAAGCAGGATATACCAGACTAAAATATTCTCATTTTCAATGTTGTTTTATCATGACGTCATATAACACTTTTGTTAATGGGTTCTCGGAATATGATACCACTATCTATGACGTCAGTGACATATTGCCCCATCAACAAATAAACAAACAAATGAACTATACGGTATAGTTCTACGTCATAAATATCTCTGAGAAAGAAAATCAACAACTTTGTACATTACTACCAGAGAGATGAACATTCATAGAAATATACGTCATCAATTCTTCCAAATAATTCAGTAATTTTTTGTATATTCTTGTTTCATTCCAGTTTCGTGTCCGTTTCTTTCGTTTATCCCAGCAGTATATGTGTATGTGCCCATGTACACCCTTGGTATACGCAGCTAACGAAAATTGACCGGTACGGGTCAAGAGCTGGACCGGTACGGGTTAACGGTTTTATTTGAATTTAAAATAGCCATAACTTGCTCAATATTGACTTCCTCGTGTCTAATTTGAAATATATGATGCCTCCTCCCAATGCTTTTAAGTACCCCAATTTTTTACAGATTTTTAAACGGACCAAAACTCTCTAAATGCGCATTTATGCTCTTTTCTCTCGAGAACGACTGTCTCATTTTCACGATAACTTTTATTTAGTACTTCTAACATATAAGATCTATTTTTCCCCATCAAGGTATGATGTAAATGACATGCTATTTACATCTTGTGAGTTTCAATGACGCGCGTTTGATTTTATAAAAAATGCCAAACTTTGTGACAAAGAATTTCATCCTGCTTGCAGCGAGAAGACGGACCGGTTCGGGGCAATCTGCTTGCAGCGAGTAGACGGACCGGTTCGGGGCAATAGCTGATGAAATTGATTCCATTCAATGCACCATAAAGCCACGTGTCTCCTCTTTACAATGATATAACTTTCTTTGATATTTGGTTATGGTTGGGTGAGTAATCATTCCATTAGCAAAGTGGGCCAAAATTAGCTTCGGGCCAAGTTATAAACATTGCAAAAGTCAGTGTACGGACCTCGATGCAATATTGGACGAAAACATAAAACCAATGCTGACTGCATCCTTTTAATTCAATGTACCAAAAAGCCAAATTACTCCTCTTTACAATGGAATATTATTCATTCCCAGGGAGTCATCTCTGGCCGAATAATCATTAATTTTGCAAAGTGGGGCAAAATTCAGCTCGGGCCAAAGTTTAAAACATTGCAAAAGTCAGTACAAGGGGCATGGGGGGCTATTGGAAGAAGGTGTGACAGGTATGGCATAGACAGTAAAGTGTTCATACTCATACTCTTGCAAGAATAAATCCTATACCCCTCCAAATTGCCACCACTTCCTTGCACATAAAGATGCACTCATCTGTCCACGTCATGCATGGTTCAGCCCCGAATCATGTGTGGGTTAAAGCAAAGAAAAGCAGCCCATGGGCAAATCTTTCTCGAGGTTTTGCAATATCTGGTGGAGGAATTGTGAGCACAGATGCTCCTGAGATAGCTCCAAAAGAAAAAGTCACAACAATTCAAGTCAGGGGAACTTCCATTGGGACTTAGCCCTTGCACTGATCTTTTCAATATCTAAAACTTGGCGCAGAGCCGATTTTGACCTACTTCGCAAATGGAAGGATTTCTTACCCAACCATTACCACATGTGGATGAATGACATATCATTGCAAAGAGGAGAGACATGGCTCTATGGTACATTAAATGAAATCGATGTAGTCATCACTAGTTTTGTGGTTTTTCGAGATAACTACTTGTTGCGTTTTTTTTTGATACGCCCTATATATTGCCTTGTACAAACATAAACCTTCACCACAGTACAGTACATCAGCAAGCATTACATAATATTGACTTAGATTTATACATGCGCATATGGATTTATCATTTTATAGCTAATACAAAGGCAATTAAAAAGTTCAACACCTTTCTAAAACCACAAACATAAACGCCTAGGGACCATCTCAAAAACAGTAATAACAATTTAAAAACACATTACATGGGTGTGTATTGCACAGGCGTACAGCATACAAGTAGTGAAGGGTGAGCCAATAATACTGGATTACCTGTGGCTATAAAGTGACTTCTATAAAAAGATCATTGACAGTTAAAGGGAACCATAGATAAACAGGATGGGCCAAGGAAGATCAAATTCTAGAGTCAATTACTACATTTGTTGAGGAACATGATATCAAAGCAATACAATTGGCTCAGCGAAATATATTGATTACCTTTACCAATAAAGCTAAGATAGCGGCAGTGACCTTCGGTCTCCATATAAATAAAACGTTTGTATCCTTAACTGATGTTGAAAGAGATGCAATCAATGTAACACTTAGCGACATCCCTATAGAAATTCCAAACTCTGTTATACATGCCCATATATCAAAATATGCCGAAAATGTTGAGGATGTAAGTCATGGCTATATAAGAAAATCTGATGGGACAATATCTACAGTGAAGACTGGAGTGAGATATATAACCGTCACAGGACTTAAAACGCCAATACCAAATAATCCGACGATTGCTGGACATACTGGCAGATTATCCTACAGAGGACAACCATGCAGCACAAGCTCGAGCACAGATCATCCATATTATCGCTGCCCTAATAAAGAAGGAACGGGGTGCTTTCGATGTGGATCCAAAGAACATCGTATTAAAGATTGCATGAATGCGTGGGGAACTTCATCAAATCTACCCCAGAAAAGTATTCCCCCTAAAACACAGAGCAATGTGACCCATATAAAATTCGATGACATGACAACTGATTCGCAGAAAAGTGCAAGTACCAATGAGGAAATGAAATCTGACCAAGCAGCAATTAATGATAAAGAAAAAGAAAATGACATCACTAGTGAAGATACCAATTATGATACAATTATAGTAGGTGCTTCAATGGTTAATGCTATGTCAGGAGAGCTTAAAGATGCAGGAATAGATGTCCGAGCCAAAAGTGGAAAAAGAGTGGAGGAGATGAAAGAACTATTATATGGTCAGCCTATTGATAGGGAAAACATAAAGAATATTGGAATCCATGCAGGTGTTAATAACATTTGTTATTACAATGACAGTCCGGAAGACACTGCAGTAAAATATGACAATTTGGTGAAAGACATTAACCAAGATATGCCTAATGCTAAGATTTATGTGTATAGCATATCTCCGATCCATCCCTACAAACAAGAAGGATTGAACAGCAAGGTCAGAAAAATGAACAAACGTTTGAAGTGTATGTGCGACAGACCGGAATATGCAACCTTTATAGACACTTTTGATCTGTTATTGTGCAAAAGTGGACTCACTGCTCAAAGTGACTATACCATGTCTGACCCTAAAGGGATACATCTATCGAACAAAGGATATAGAAAATTGGCCCACTACTTAAGATCAAAGATGGAAACTACAAACATAACAAAGACTCCAGTATCTAAAAGAAAGGATCGAGGCTCTTCAGAAAATACACCCAATTCCTCTGAGAAGAATCCAAAGTCAGGAAAATCCACAGTCAGAGAGTAGAATTACATCCATAAATATACATTGTATCATAATACATATAGTGATATAAAATAGACTTGTACATATGTAAATAGGACAACATGCAGTGAAATATAAATTACAATTGGTTAGATATAGATGTATATGTATATATATATGATCTCATGCAATGTATGTTTTAAATATTTGAATATGAAAGGGAATATAAGAGTATATATATAAAGTAATTAAGCAACATGGTTATAAAGAGTGTATATAAGTTTTATCACTTTAAATGAATCATTATGTTAGTATCTTACAGATGCCTTACTCTGAATGTCAGAGGATTAAACAATTTTAAAGAGAGAGAAAAATATTAAATATGGCTATTAAATCAGAAACCAGATATAATCTTTCTTCAAGAAACATTTTGTGTTCTAAAAAATGAAAACAAAATCAGAAATTGCTTTCATGAATTTGACTTTATTAATGAATTAACAGATTCTCAACACTCTAGAGGCGTTTCCATATTAATATCCAAAAGACTCTCGTGTAAAATTTTAAATATTGTAAGCGGTAATAATGGACGACGATTGCTCACAAATGTTGATATAAATGGTACAATATTTTCTTTAATATCAATCTATGCACCAAATGAAAGCAACTGTAGAAAATTATTCTTAGAGAACCTTAATAGTTGGATTCAAAGTAATAAGCATATAGAAGGTAATATTATAATAAGTGGTGACTTCAACTGTGCTTTAAGAGATTCTGACAGATTTCCAACAACAGAAAAATATCATCAAAATGATAAAAGTAGACAGAGTCTAAAACATTTTATTGAAAACTGCACTTTAATTGACACGTGGGAAAATTATAATAAATCAAACAAAAATATAGACTTTACGTATAATACCAAAAACCTAAAAAGTAAAAGTAGACTTGATTACATTTTTATCTCAAAAAACAACAGACTTGAAATAAAAAAAAGCTATATACTCCAAGCATTAAAAAAAGATCATAAAGCAGTTATAACAGATATAAGATTATTAGGAAATAAGAGAGGGAAAGGATACTGGAAACTTAACAACTCATTATTAGAAGAAGAGTTTTGTAACAATATATCAAAATACCTCAAAGAAATAAATCAAGATCAAATCGATTGCTTAGAAAATTTCATAAATCAGTGTAAACGAGAAAATGTTAAAACAGAACTAAATATCAAAAGGAATGAAATGATAAATAAGTTAGACAAATTGTATGAATATGAATCAAGTGGAATGTTTATTAGATCAAGGGCTAAATGGATTGAAAAGGGGGAAAAAAGTACATCTTATTTTTTACAATTAGAAAAACAAAGACAAACCAGTAATGTTATAACTAAAATAAAAACGCCATCCAAGGTCGTCACAGAAGATGTTGAAATTTTAAAAGAAGCCTGTAAATTTTATGAAAACCTTTATAGAAATAATAATTCGGATGAAGAAGTGATGAACAACTATCTAAAAGAAGTAGAACTTAATTACACCTTAACTGCTAGTGAAAGAAATAGTTTAGAAATATATAACAAAATCTGAAGTAAACTCATCAGTGAAAAATCTAAAATTGAATAAAAGTCCTGGTTTAGATGGGATAACTCCTGAATTTTACAAATATTTTTGGTCAGATATGGAAAGTATATTTTTGGAAATGATTAATGAAGTTTTTCAAGAAGGTGAATTATGTGAAACCATGAAAATTGCGATCTTGAACTTAATTTTCAAAAATGGAGATCGACAACTCCTTGCTAATTACTGTCCCATAAGTCTTACTAATTATGATTACAAAATTATAGCTTTTACATTAACAAATAGAATAAAAAGCCTAGTGAAAAAACTTGTTGGAAAAAATCAATCTGCATACCTTGAAAAACGCTTTATTGGAACAAATGCCAGATTATAAATAGATTATTTAGAACTTATAAACAATGAGAATAGAAATGGATTGATAATTAGCCTAGATTTTAAAAAAGCCTTTGATAGTCTTAATTTGAATTTTATGTTCAAAGTCCTTCAGAAAATGAATTTTGGCAAAAGGTTTATTAAGTGGGTGACAATTTTATATACAAATCCAATTCTCAAAATAGAAAATAATGTTTTTTTGTCAAATGAAGTTAAGATAGAACGAGGTATACACCAGGGATGCCCGATCTCTGCATTATTATTTATTTTATGTGTTGAAATCATGAATAATAAAATAGAAAATAATAAATTAATCAAAGGTATTAGTATTGATGGCAAAAAAGAAACAAAGGTGATTCAACATGCAGATGACACAACATTAATTTTAGAAAACAAAGAATCAATCTCACATGCATTAACACAAATAAAAACATTTTCTGAAGTGGTCTATGTCTCAATCTAGAAAAAACAATTGGCATAGCACTAGGTAATTTCAAAAAGCAAAACGATGAATACTTTGAAAATATTAAATTCACAAATGAACCAATTAAAACCTTAGGTATTTATATTAGCAATAACAAAGAAAAATGTGCAGAGCTAAATTGGAACCCCAAAATCTTAGAATTTGAAAAACTGTTCGAATCTTGGAAAAAAAGAAAACTTTCTCTATTTGGTAAAGTACAGATTATCATTATATTAGGAATCTCAAAACTAGTATACAACTTTTCTATCCTTGATGTCCCCGAAAGAATTGTCAAAAAAGTAAACTCAATCATTTATAATTTTATTTGGAAGAAAGATAGAATCAAAAGAAAAACTACAATATTAAAAATTAAAAATGGTGGTTTGGGCTTAATAGACGTTGAAACAAAGATAATGTCATTAAAAGCAAGTTGGGTGAAAAGAATACAAGATGATGGCACATCATGGATTCACGCCTAACCATCGACAAGGTACAGTCACGTGACCGTGACAAAATATGCCGTAGTACACTTTTGATGTACAATGTCACTATTAACTGATTTTAAGCAAAGACTATGATGTAGGTTTGATGCAGGTTTTTAAAAATAAATTTGAGGAATACAAAAAGGATTTCCTGTTTGATTTCGCATGTATTCGATTTCAAAGACATTTATTTTTCTAATTACGTTAAAAGATCTTCGAGCAGTGCTTGATTTTTTTCGTTGTACGTCTACCCATACAATTGTTCGGTTGGAAAAATGTTGTTTTTTACACATTTCCTTTGATAATTTTCTCCCCTGACGTCTCGGAGTGTCGAATATTTTAATGAGAATGTGTTTCTCTAAACTGCACAATTTAAGACGGGTTAAGATTTAATAAATATTCATGCATTTGATATAATCTAAAAAATCAGAAATGTACATTGTCAACTCACAGTGTATGTTGTCCCTGTAATTGAAATTCATGTGTGATAATATTAAACATTGCAATGATTTAATTTCAAAATGCATTAAGGGTTTTATGCGTAACAAGTGATGTTCAACGAACATGCTCCTGTATCCCTAGTACAGAAAAACAGGTAAACGTGATTTTTTCGTTGAATGCTATTTTATTTTATGAAAGTGTTAATATGGTAATTAATATGTGACCATGGCGTGATATCTTCCGACCTTTTTGGCCACTCGGCGTCGGTACGTTACGTTATGTTTAGTTGCACTTTTATGAATTTTAATAATCTCAAGGAGTTCATGGAGAGATCTTTACTAGCAAGATGACTTTCAAAATTTATGCTATAGGGTGTCCCGAAAGTATGGGCCCCCTAGGCAGACATATACCAATGTCTCCATAGTATGTGTCATATATCATTTTAAAGCTCATCCAAAGTTATATTAATTTGCCGAGTATCATGGTTCAACTCACAAATGAAAAAAGGTACAGGAATACAAAAGTTAGTGTTTGGGCAAAATTAAAGTCAGTTTTACACCAAAACAAAAGTTGGTGTGTCTCCTTAGCCGCCATGTTAACAGCAGCAATACTTTCCATATATGACCTTAAACAGGCTTCAAATAGGGATATGGCGTTTTGTAATCCTCATGAAACCTTTTTAAGGCATAGGAAGAGTTTCCTTGGAGTATCTACCCTAAACGTCATCTTTTTAGAACTCAATAGTCATCCTATCTTCGAGAATGGCATCCATATTTTCTGTCACAGGGTCAGGGCTGTTTCCAGGATACTGAAATGAACTATCTTTTTGACAAAACGCTAATTTTTGAAATGCCTGTTACTTTTTACCATTTGAACCATCATATTTGGCAAATCAATGTAACTTTGGATAAGCTTAAAAATGATATATGACACATACTATGGAGACATTGGTATATGTCTGCCTAGGGAGGGGGGCATACTTTGGGACACTGTATATCTGGAAAGTGCAGAAGTTCAAAAGCCAGGTATGGAACACAAAAAAAAGAATTAGTAACATTGACATTTAATCATAACAATGACAATTTTATGGATTAACGGAAAAAATATTAGGGTAAATATATCTGATATGCCTATTAAATATTATTACTTTATTATCAAATATGTTCCTCCTATTACACGTACATTATAGCATTTCATTCACTGTAAATTGAGATCTGTAAGGCCAATGTGACAACATACATTCGAGTTGACAACATACATTATCTATTTTTCGTAGTAGCATCCAAAGTAAAAAGCGGTTTTGCATTAACTCTGAATGTATACTTATCTTAAGTTGTGTTAGTCGTAGTTTGGCTAATATTTGCATAGCAAAACAAAAATTAGAGAGAATTTTGAGAAATTCAGTCAAGATTTAGAGATCCCTGACGTGCTGGGTAGATCTATAACAAGATATTGAAGTTGCTGAGGATCATTTAAAGTAGATATGCATATTTGCAACTTAATTACAAATCGAATGCAACAACTACATGTACCTGATGATGAATAGACACAATATTGATCAAATCAATGCTAGTTCTTTCCTCGCTTCCTCATTCTAGAAAATGGCGATCTAAAATGGCGGAAATGACATAGTACACCAAAAGTGTACTACGGTATATTTTGATCGTTTCTAGTTTTACATTTATTAAAAGCTAATAAAAATGACATAGTACACCAAAAGTGTACTACGGTATATTTTGTCAATGTCACGTGACTGTACCTTGTCGATGGTCAGGCGTGGGATTGATATTCCAAAATATTATATCAAACAGTGTGGTTTTAAAATTGATGATTTATAAAAACACATTTTACCAAAGAGACAAAACTGCCTATGCCATTGTTTTATAGAGAATTTTTATTAGCTTTTAATAAATGTAAAACTAGAAACGATCAAAATCTAATAGGAGAAATATTTTGGCTAAATGAATCTTTTAAAATTAAAAATGAAGTTGTACACAACATAAAATGGATAAATAGTGGATTTATATATGTTAAAGATTTCTATGATGAAAATGGAACCTT